TGATGAAACTACCAATTCGAAATTGTTGGCGCGCCTTTCCAAAAAGGATGTATTCGTTCTTGAACATTTATCGAAGGGAGTCACCTAGAAGACTGTGAATTTTCATGAAAAAATGTGTTTGTTTTTTATGGACATGACCGTTCATGAACAAATGTATTAATACGTTGGTCTATAATATGGTGAATCAATGGATGAACATAACCAAAATCCATTTCAAGTTGGATTTATTTCATGAATGAAGGTGCTATAATTTGCATATCATGTAGACGTATAAATAAATTGCATACAAATACTTGAAAATAGCAGAGTGATTCGAAATGTGTTATATAATAAAAAATTATGGCCACATCTGATGTCAATAATTCCGGCTATTGTTATAATATATTATTGATATAGTAAGTGTAGTCAATAATCTGATATGCAATAGAAAGTCGAGACGTATTAGTCTACGATATAAGGAAGTTTGCATTGAACTATCTTGACAATGAAACGGGTCTTGAGATATTTAAAATGTACTCAAAATTATGCTTTACACTACAATAAATATATCGCAGTAATATAGAGGTATACTGATGCAAATTAGATTACCGGTTTAAATGTTTATAAATCCACAAGTGGATATATTTTTACAGCCGGTGGAGGATGAGAAGCAGTGTCTTGAAAATTATCCAAATAAACGTGCATTGCCCGCTCTACAATGGAGGCTGATTTTATAGCCTTAGATAAGGCCGGTGAAGAAATAGAATGACTCCAAAATTTCTTAAGGATATTCTATTTTGGCCCACATTATTGGCACATATATACATATATTGTGATAGTCAAGCGACAATAGGAAGGGCTGGGAGCATCATGTATAATGGAAAATCTCATCATATATGATATTCGGCTTAAAGTATGTATATTTATATGCATATTGCCTCGCATTTTACGCATATTTCGTAGATTTCGAATGTGTAATATAATGATTTGTGCTAATTAGTGGTATTTTTATGTGTAGGAATCATCCGAAAATTTGGGAGGAATGTGCGCTAATTGAAGTTAAAAGGAGAAGAAAAGGGAAAAAGTCACAATGTAGCACCACAGGCAGCATAGGGCGCCACCTATGGCACACAAAAACAGAATCCTCTAACTGTCCAGCGCCAGGTCTAGCGCCCCAAGCTACCCTGGGTGCTGGCAACGTGAATTTGTCCTAGTTCGCCCGGGACTCGATTATTTCATCCCCAAGATGCCCTCAATTTGTATAAAAGAAAACCTAAACCTATTTTGGCAAGGGAGACGCGACTTCGAGAGAGAAACACAAGTAGGAAACACTCGGGAGCACAGAATTCATCAATTCTTCCATTCTTCTTCTAGTATTCATAGCTTTTATGTTTGAAAATAATATTTTGATGATTGTTATGAACATGAGTAGCTAAGAACCTTATTATTATAGGATTATGGGTCATTCTTGACTATTGTAAATTGACGGTTGATTGTTTTGCTTGATTTTATCATATTAATTTGTTTATTTAATCTTGTTAATTATTCTATTGCGTAGCTAACAATAGAGTAATATCTATGAATTTATAGTTGAACTCGAAAGTGGGAACTATAAATTGCATATAAGGTTGAATAGAGTAAGTTCTTGAATCTGGGCATCCGAAAATAGATTCGTGATTAGGATAGGCATATTCTATTGCCTTACTTAGTTACTTTTGCAGGAAATATATATGCATTCTTGTCAAGTTTGATTCTATAGACATATAGTATTAGGTTTGCTTGAATAGGCGAGCGAAGCTTTGAAAGAACTTCGCGAGCATAATAAACCATGCTAATAAAAAAATAGATAAGTCAAGTGATTACATCAACCCAAAAAAGCAATAGGAGAGATGTTAATCCCATAACCCTGGAATATCTCCATCTCATTAAAATCGTTCTAAGTGCTTGTTTGCTCTACTTGCGCTCTTATTTTCTTGCTTGCTTATCCGTTTAGTTCGTAGTAATTTAGTTATAAACATCACATCCATCTTCTTCATACTTACTTGAGCATTAAATATACAAATAGCTTAGATTGGAAAATAGTTGATCATAAATCCTCATGGGAACATTACTTTCTTATCACTTTATTACTTGTCGACCGCGTATACTTGTGTGTGCATGTGTACCCAACAAATTTTTGGCATCATTGTCGGAGATTTAGAAATTAGTTATTTGTCTGAAATAAGAGTTTATTTGTTTTTGTTCAAGTGTTAATCTGTTTAACTATTTTTGACTCTACAGGTGTTCACCTCGAATGCTAGAAGAAGCAACAGTTTGAACAACCTTTCTCCTCCTAATCCTGAACTCGAAAGACTCTTTCATAGTTTAAAGAGGGAGGCGGAATAGAGAGCAAGAATTGCAGAGTTGGGTATTGTAGTCCAACCACAACCAATTGAGATGGCATAAAATGAAGAAAGACCGGTGATTGAGGCCACAATGCCTAGTCTTGATAATATGACTCAGGATATCGTGAAGCCTGACATCACGGGACACTTTGAGCTCAAACAGTATATGGTGCAGTTGATTCAATCCACAGGGCAATATGTGGGTACTTTGAGCTCAAACAGTATATGGTGCAGTTGATTCAGTCCACAGGGCAATATGTGGGTACTTTGAGCTCAAACAGTATATGGTGCAGTTGATTCAGTCCACAGGGCAATATGTGGGTCTATCTCATTAAGATTCGCATGGCACATTCAGAATTTTTTTGAGATTACAAATACATACAACTATCCGAATGTCTCCAAGGACTATGTCAGACTGATTTTGTTTCCCTTTTCACTGTTGGGAAAATCTAAGGAATGGTTAAACCATGAACCCGCAAACTCAATCCACACTTGGGATAATCTAGCATGAAAATTCTTAATTAATTTTTTTCCCACAAAGAAAACAAAGTCATTGAGAAGCTAGATTCTTGGGCTTCAACAACGAGATGGTAAGACTCTTCGTCAAGCTTGGAAAAGATACAAGAAACTACTCAGAGACTGCACACATCATTGTTAGAGTGATGAGGTGTTGTGATATATGATCGGCCTCAAAATCCACCTCAACAAGTAGAAGAGAGCACTAATAATATGTTGAAGAAGCTGCTGATTGACAACCAGCAACTTCGAACAGATAATCAGCAATTGAGAACAAAATTTTGAAATATAGAGAGGCAGATTAGGCAGTTGGCTACACAACAAAATACTCAACATGTAGGTGCCCTTCCCAACGATAAAAATAAAAATCCTCAGGTAAATGTTGTAACCTTGAGGAATGGTAGAGAATTAGAAGAATTCCCAAAAAGAAAGAAAGAACAAGTCACTCCTAAGGGTGAACTGATCCCCAAAACTGTGGGAGACGCTGAAAAAGAAACTGAAGAAAGTGAAAGACTCTAGTTTCAAGGCCACCACCTCCCTTCCCACAAAGATTGAAGAAGAAAAGTGATGACAGGTTGTTCAACAAATTTCTTGATATGTTGAGCCAAATTTAATTAAATATTTTATTGGTTGATGTACTATGTGAAATCCCAAAATATGCTAAGTACATAAAAGATATTGTGGCTAACAAAAGGAGATTGGCAGAGTTTGAGACCGTGGCATTTACTGAAGAGTGCACCTCGAGAATTCAAAGAAATTGCCACAAAAGTTGAAGGATCTAGGGAGCTTCACCATATCTGTTGGAATTGGTGAGGTAGATGTGGGGCGAGCACTATGTGATCTGGGGGCTAGCATAAATTTGATACTTCTCTTAGTTTTCAGTCAATTGGGGTTGGGAACCCGAAGTCCAACCACAGTCATGTTGCAGCTTGCTGATAGATATATTGTTCATCCCGAGGGGGAGATAGAAGATATGCTACTTCAAATTTGGTAATTTATTCTGCCAGCAGATTTTATCATACTGGACTATGAAGCTGATGAACAAGTCCCCATCATCTTGGGACGACCTCTCTTAGCCACCGCTGATGCTGTGATCAAAGTTCGTGAAGGAAAAATGATCCTCGGGTTGATAATGTGGAAATAGTCTTTAATGTATGCAAGGCAATTCATCTGCCAAGTCATTATGAGGATCTAACTATGATATATGTGATTGAAAAAGAAGAAAAAAAAATGATGTGGGGTGCATATCTGGATGACTCTCTAGAGAAAACACTTGTGTTGTTTGACAGCATTGACTTGGACGACGAGGTAAAGAAGATGGTGCATCATCTGGATGCATGTGCTTACATCAAAGGATTGATCGATTTCGAGCCTCTAGATAGACCAACTGGACCACCCCCCAAGTTGTGTATCGAAGAAGCTCTTAAATGGGAACTCAAACCCCTACCCTCAAATCTTCATTACGCCTATTTAGGTGTTGATAAAACTTTACCTGTCATTGTATCTTCTTACTTATCTATTTTGTAGAAAGTAAAGCTGCTTTCTTACTTAGAGAGCACAAGCGGGCGATTGGAGGGACCATGGCTGACATTCATGGTATTAGCCTAAAATTTTGTATTCATAAAAAAATTTCATGGAGCATGGGCACAAACCGAGTGTAGAACACCAACGCCGCTTGAACCCAGTCATGAAGGAAGTGGTAAGAAAAGAAGTCATAAAGTGGCTCGATGCAGGTGTTATCTTCCCCATCTCTGATAGTAAGTGGGTAAGTCCAATCTAGTGTGTACCTAAAAAGGGTGGAATGACGGTGGTCATATATGATAATAATGAATTAATTCCAACTAGGACTATCACCAATTGGAGAATTTGCATTGACTACCGAAAACTGAATAATGCTACTAGAAAAGATCACTTCCCCTTCCCTTTATTGATCAAATGCTAGACACGTTGGTCGGACAACACTACTATTGTTTCCTTGATGGATATTCCGGCTATGACCAGATCTCAATTGCACTAGAGGACCACGAAAAGACTACCTTCACTTGTCCTTATGGCACTTATGCTTTTCAGCGAATGCCATTTGGGTTGTGCAATGCACCTTCGACTTTTCAAAGGTGCATCATGGCAATCTTCACTAATATGGTGGAAAAATTTATTGAAGTATTTATGGATGATTTTTCGATCTTTGGACCAACTTTTGATGAAAGCTTAACGAATTTGAGTAAAGTGCTTTCCAGGTGTGAAGAGACAAATTTGGTGATGAACTGGGAGAAGTGTCATTTTATGGTACGAGAAGGAATTGTACTCGAGCATAAGGTGTCCAAAGATAGGTTGGAGGTGAATAAGGCAAAAGTGGATGCAATTGAAAACTGCCATCTCCAATCTTTGTCAAAGGAGTCAGAAGCTTTTTGGGACATGCAAGTTTCTATTGCAGATTCATTAAAGATTTCTCTAAGATTTCTGCTCCCTTGTGTAGGTTGCTCGAGAAGGATACGCCTTTCAAGTTTGATGAACACTGCTTGAAGTCGTATGAGGAGTTGAAAAAGAGATTGGTGACTGCACCAATTATTACCACCCCAAACTGGGGAGAGCCTTTTGAATTGATGTGTGATGCCAGTGACACGGTAATTGAGGCCGTATAGGGCCAGAGGAAAGATAAAGTGTTCCACTCAATTTACAATGCTAGCAAAACTCCAAATCCAACTCAAATAAATTACATAGTCACAGAAAAAGAGTTGTTAGCGGTAGTATGGGTGTTTGACAAATTTAGGGCCTACTTGGTGGGAACTAAAGTCATCGTCTACACAGACCATACAGCCATCAGGTAAATGTTTAAGAAAAAGGATGCTAAGCCTAGACTAATTCATTGGGTTCTTCTCTGGCAGTAATTTGACGTGGAAATAAAAGATCGAAAAGGGACAGAAAATTAGGTGGCGGACCATTTATCGCATTTGGAAACTCGTGCACATGTTGAGGAAGGGGAGAAATTCAGGAAAGCTTTCCTAATGAGAAATTTCTATCCATCACAGCTGGCACGACCCCATGATATGATGACTATAAACTTCATTGTAAGTGGGGTGACTCTATCAGGGTTATCTCCGGATGGTAAGAGGAAATTCATGCATGATTGTGAGGCTTTATCTATGGGATGAGCCGTTTTTGTTTAAGCAATGTGAAGATCAACTGGTGCCCCGATGTGTTCCTGAGGAGGAGATGGATGAAATTTTACATGATTTTTATGCATCACCATATGGGGGCACCATGGTGGAGACAAAACGGCTGCAAAGGTGTTGCAGTCGAGATTCTACTGGCCTAAGCTATTCATGGATGCACATACATTTTTAAAAAGGTGTGATAGTGCCAGAGGATGGGGCCGTTTCAGATCAAATGTCCATCAGTACATCTTGGTTGTAGTTGACTATGTGTCAAAGTGGGTTGAGGCTGTGGCTTTGCCTACGAATGATGCTAAAGTAGTGGTGAGCTTTGTGAAGAAAAATATTTTCACCAGATTCGTGACTCTGTATGCTTTGATCAGTGATGGAGGGACTCACTTTTGTAACAAATGATTGGCCAACCTCTTAGCTAGTATGGGGTGAGACACAAGGTTGCAACTGCTTATCATCTGTAAACCAGTGGTCAAGTGGAGGTCTCAAATAGAGAGGTAGAGCAAATTTTGGAGAAGACAATGAGCGCAAGTAGGAAGGATTGGGCTAGCAAGCTAGATGACACTTTGTGGGCATATCGCACGGCATACATAACTCCAATTGGCGCTTCACCATACAGGTTAGTATATGGAAAGGCTTGTCACTTGCTTGTTGAGCTTGCGTACAAGGCATATTGGGCAATCAAGAAGCTCAATTTTGATATGGATCTATTTGGGGGAAAACGGATGTTGCAACTGAATAAGCTCGAAAAGTTTCGACTGCACGCATATGAGAATGCAAAGTTAAACAAAGAAATGGCATGACAAACATATTTTGCATCATGAGTTCGAAGCCGATCAAGCCATTTATTATTCAATTCAAGGTTGAAACTCTTCCCTAGGAAGATCAAGTCTAGATGGTCGGGTCCATTTGAAGTAGTGTGCATTGCAAAGCATGGAGTTGTTGAGCAAAAGGACCCCGAGAGCAATGGCACATTTTTAGTCAATGGGGCGGTGGCATTCGTCATCACAAAACTTAATAGAAAATTATGATGCAAAATGCCTGTATAGGATCATAAACTAAATGATGATGCAAATATACTATTTTGAAAGTATATATATACAATTTAAAATATGAGGAAAAAAGTGGGTATCAACAGTGCTGCTACTCTAAATTAACTGATTTATAGATTATGGGTGTTATAAAACCTACATACATGATTTCTAAGCGATGGGCATCCAGACATGCAAGCAATTTGAAGAACCCGCATTATTCATTGACAAGATATACGAATGTTGCATAGTGATTATTAAGAAGAATCGCAGATTTCCAGTCATTAATCATGTAGATGTTATGCCTAAGTGATTTATGCACTAAGTGACAATGAAGTCTAGAATTATGCATGCTTTTGATAGTGATCTAAGTAAAACAAGTTGAGAGGTTCATCATTTACAGTCATTAAACGAATAATGATATCCTATAGACGTAGTCTCTAACGATTAGCGCCTAGGACTGATTCTATGGTTATACTTGGTTCTATAGGCATGATTTCTAGTGAACAGTGCGAGACAATAGCAAGAAAGCAATCAAGATCCTATTGGCATGATTTCTAATGTATATTTCAAGATAATAGCAAGAGACCTATAGGCATGATTGCTAGTGAATATGCTAAGGTGAATTGAAAGATAGTCCATTAACATTTGTTCCTACAAGCAGGATTTCTAATAACACATAGTAATAAACATAATTGCAACATTTCCTACTTGTGTTTGCTAGCAGACAGTATGTGTGTGTGCGCTTCCTCTAATGGCATGGTTTCTATAGTGCACACAGTAATTGGACAACACGTATAGCACATAATTATAAAGTCCTATAGGCATGTTATCTACACATTTTTGAATGCAAATATTATATTCTACATATTTTCCCTTTTACTAGAACTCCAATCATTTATACAATGGTATTATTACAGCCTCAAATGAACAAATAAACATAGTAATATTACATGGCAATAGACAGGCCTATGGCGGGCCCAAGCAAACAACTAAATACCCAGCCATATTGAGCCTTTAACATAGTATACCATACTATCACAAGTCCATAGGGGAGTTCAGCCCCCTTCCAATGAGCCACAACACCAAGTAATGCATCACTTGGGACAACCAGCACAAAAACACAGCACATGATATGGGAGTAGAGCAACAAGGATGGCTTGGGAGTTTGAGGAACTACTAAGGCCAAATCCCTAGTGTGTCAGAGTTCACAAAGGCCTCAGATGGACCCCGAGCAGTGCTCACACTAGGGATACCAACAAAGAGCCTAGGAAGCCTTGGCTTTCAGCCGGCTAAGAATAGGGATTCAGAATACCAAAGTAACCTGTAGGGAGGATGGACAGAAATTCATAGAAGGATCAGACAGCACAACTACTCAAGTAGATCAGCAAATTCAATCCAGGTTCACATAATCAAAATACCACGTAATCAGTCATCATAGGAATTAGGAGAAGAAGTAGGTTTGTAAAAAACATAGGTTGATAATTAATGGTTTAAATTGGGTTAAGTCTAATCTAATGCCATATTAATCTATACTTGAACACAATGGAAGGATACACATATTAATAACTATGGAAAGGGGAGAACAATAGATGAACCAAGTCATACTGGAAAAAACATGCTAGCACAAGAGTCATAGAGAATAGAGTGTTTGCCTTTAGAGAATCAGCATAGCATGAAATAGGTTTAAACAAATCTCAGAGCAGTATTACAAAACACTCCATTATACACAGGACCCATTAAAAATTCATTCAAGTAAAGAGGTTTCCACAGAGTTAGGGCATTAGCTACTCACAATATGCAAAAACATCATACAACTACAATATTGAAGCCCAAAATTAACATGTTAAGATTTTACAAGGTCTAGAGCTAATCTTAGGAGATAAGATATCACAAAATGTAAATTATAGTGAAGCATGGCATGGAGAGTAGACTATTCTCTTGTGTCACAGAATGACATCAAAGTTGAACACCATCACAGTTGAATCAAAGTTCAGATACATGTGCAGGAAAGAAATTAAATTATTATGAGGGTTTAAACACTAACCAGTAGCAGGATTAAAAGAGTAGAGTGTAGAAGCAAAAATCCCAAATCCCCGATGCTTCAGAGTTCACAAGAGCCTCGAGAATGGCTCTGAGCAGTGCTTGTGCCGAAGGATGTTATTCAATAGTTTCAGCGAGTTTGAAAGTAATAGTGAGTAAATGAGAGAGTAGTGGAAAATAGTAGTCAGAGTCTGAGTCCTCAAAATCTCTTTTGAGAGGGGTTTATATAGTAGAAATCAAACAAGTAAACATGGAAATAAATTATTCAAACACAAATAAAGAAAAATTTACTAGAATCAATTAGAATTGGTTGTTTAAGGCATAAACAAAGAGGTTCAGTAAATCAATAGGGAATGACATTTATAACACAAATAATACTAAAAATAAAGGAATACAGAAGATTAAATGGAGAATGAGAAAACTCATACCAAAAATCATTTTGAGTCAGATTTAGGGTAAAAAAAAATAAACTAGAAAATAGGAAAACATGGCAAATTAAACGGAGATACAGAAAAGAATAGTCAAACACGGTAAAGGAAAAGTATCAATCAAGAACCAGTAAGAGATGAGGGAACATTTCAAACCCTAGTTCAAAAAGGAAGCATGGATAGTCGAAGATCTTACTGAATCGAACCATATAGAATGCATATAGACGAAATATCTTCTAAGTTTCAGTGACTGAAGGCGGTGGAATCCCACTTGGGTACTGGTACTTGCCAAATTTGGGGCAAGTACCATATAACATCATAATTTTGCAAGGAATACTGAGGAATCACATAAAAGGTAAGGAAATCATGGAAGGAATCCATGATTGAGACGGATTTGGAGAAAGTTTGAGTGAGGCGGCTAGGGTTAGAGGAGATGAGAGTAGAGAGGATTCTGAGGCGGCGGGTTTAGAGGGAATGGTTAGGGTTTGGGGGTGGGGTTTGGTTAGTTAAAAAGGGCGGATTAGATGTGTGTTGTTGATCTTAGAGATCAACGGCCAGGATTTAAAAAAGGGTTGGGTCGGGTTCTTAGAAATGGGTACTGATCGGGTATTAGATTGGGTCATTTGGTCTTGGGCCAGGGGTAATTGGGCTAATTTGGGTCCAAATTTTGGTCTTAAGAATGGGCTATTATTTAAATACACAAAATTTAACAAAAAGAATTTATAAAAAATGCTTAATAAATAAATAAAAATATTATTTATGAAATAAAATGATTAACAATTACAATTTAGCATTATAAAAATATATAAGGCTATTTTGACACAAATAATATAGATAAAAGCAATTATATATGAATATAGGCTATTATTGCAAAATTAGGTAAATAGCTCAAAAATGCAAACATGATTATATGAAATAAAGTAAAAATATTATGAAACATATATAAGGATGAAAAATAGTAATTTGAATGATTAGGTCATCACAAAATAATTTGAAGGATTAATTAATAATTATTCAAGTAATTTAAATGCAGAAAAAATTAATTTAAAGCTCTAAAAATTATGGAAAATTATAGAAAATGCTTGTATAGATTTATAAACTAAAGAGATGAAAAAATGTTGTTTTGAAAGTATATATATTGAAAAGATATGAGGAAAAAATTGGGTATCAACACTACCTAACTATCCTAAAAAACAGAAGAATTTTTTTAGTGTTTTTAATCGGACTTTAATCCCTCAAGAAATATGTCCAAGAGATCAATCGTTGGGAAAAGTCCTATACACAATTACACGTCAGGAGGTAGTTCCCCCACCCCACACTTAGATAATGCATAGTCCCTGATGCACATAAAAATTTAAAATATAGTAAGGTGGAAAGAAGAACTCCCTGCTAGTCGGATTGCTCCTCCTCAGAATTCCCACCAGCCAGAGCTCTAGGATCATCATCATCATCCACTCCCAGGGGCACCAAATCCAAGGGGCTTGTGACTTTATCACCAATCTCATCCTCATCATCTGAACCTTTGTGGGTGTTTCGCATCCTCAGACGGGTGAATGGAACTACTAGGTTCAATCCCCAATATTTCCTTGGAAGAACTGGATAGATCATTGCGTAGATACATATACTCCTCACACCTAGCCTGCTCATATCACATTCAGGGAGAAATAGAGATACATGTTGAAGTTTTCATCCCTCTCATTCTGCGCCACCAGGCTCAGCTTGGACGTAGACTCTAACAAGGACGTAATATCCAGCAATCCCTTTGGTGCCTCCACCGCCTCATCATACCCGGGGTACTCAGGGACCTCACAGGAGAGCATGTATTGCATCAAGAGGTTGCTAAAGAAGAATCTTTTTATCTTTCGCCCAAAGCGGGTGCGGGCCATCTTCCCTAGCATGATATCACTCATATTGATGGGTCGCCCAGCCGTCAGAAAAAATATTAAACACACTCGGGCTCGAGTGCATTCACTGTTGTGCTCAACTGGCATCAATCTAGCCTGTACGATATTTTGCCACATCTTGGCAGTCTTGTTGAAGTCGAAGCGGATCATCTCAAAATGGGCATCCCCCTTATTCCGTGTCCACTTTGCATTAGAATAGATGCCACAAAGAGTGTGACGTATCGTCTGGTAGCTTAGGCATTTGACAAACTTTTGCAACCTCCGTGGGTTAAGGCTATTGACTCCCAAAAATTCACCTAAGGACCGCCTATCTATTGGCACCCCCTTTCCGCGGACCCATGACTTGAACAAGTCCCCATTCCAATTTGCATAAAGTTCTCGCACCATGCTCAAATTT